TTTGTTACTCTAAAATTCTCTCTATTGCTATTATAGAGCTTAGAGCTATACACTGATAGCAAAGCAGTGAAAACTGAAAACACGGAAGAGAGAGAATAAGAAGGGGTAGGATATGTGTGTAATTTTGGTATGCATTGTTGTGGGCGTGTGTTGATGGGCATGCCAGAGAGAGAGAGAGAGAGAGAGAGAGAGGCTGACAATGTCCTTCACAAAAGTCGCTGACTCTATTGTCTGCCCCGCATTTAAAGCGCGCTCTGTTTCTGTAATGTCCAACTCTTTGTATCTTTGTAGTTTGTACCCTATGCATTGCCCTTTCATCCCATATAGCACCATTCCATCATCTCTTCGGTCTACATTATTACTCTCAAACAATATAAATTATTAAAAAAGATTTTTATTTAATATTTTAATATTCTAGATTAAAATAATTCTTTATATGGTACCAAAGTTTCAATAATCATATCATGAAAATCGATCCTCATTACCCCCGTTTATGGAATTAAATAAGCATAGGATAAAAAAAAAATTATGCCTATACAATATACACGTTTCAAGTCTAAAGGGCTCTTGTGTGATGATAAGTGTGTTAGAGAATAATATAAATCATTTCAAAGACCTTCACCCAATACCTCAAGGTTTTGGGTTGAAGTGATACTTTACATGGTATCAAAGCTTCAGTAATCATAAGGTCACGAATTCGATCATCACCAGCTCCCCACTTTTTAGTGAAATTAAATAAGCATATTTTAAAATAAAAAATTGTGCCTATGCAATATCCACGCTTCAATCCCAAAGGACTCTTACATGAGGAAATGTGTTAGAGAATAATATAAACCTTAAAGTGTATATTATCACTTTCAAACAAACCCGTATTTTTTTGTAAAAGGAGATAAATTTATCATCTATACATATATTAAAATGTGTTGGGTTCATATTTTTTCTTTTTTCCTCTTCTTTTTACAAGGGCCCTATGCAATTTATGTATATGTAAAAGATAAATTTTATTTCGTATAACATAAGAAAATTAAACCTTTTTTTTATTTCTTCTTTTCTTTAACTATTACTTTGAAACAACAAAATGTTAAATAACTTAACAATTAAAATTCCATTTGAGTACCATCGGGTTAGAGTTTTTTTAATCCTTTATTTATAGAGATATTTACGTGATATTAGGTAAGGTATACTATCCAAAGCTAATGGGCTATTAAGTGGGTCCATAGCAATACCACCCATTGTATTTTGCTTCACATTTCTTGTTTTGTTTCTCATATCACATTGGCCAAGGTATTGAGAAAGTTGCACTTCATAAACGTGTGCGTGTGTTTTGGGTTATACCCTTCTATAGTTGCAAATTTGCAATGCAAGAGTTATAGGAGCCACATCTCACACAATTATTTGCACATCATAAAAGTTGAAGCAAAGTGTTATATCTTTCTAACAGTAGCTAATAACCCAATATACTATGGTGTTCAAGAATTAATATTATTTTTATAAAAATTATGGCATACCTGGTCTGCTTTATGCCCACATTAATTTGAACATTCTGTCATTAACAGAAATGGGATTGGGGAAAGCATGTTTCTTTTGTCCATGAAATAAAATGCAGTTATGCAAGGTCAATACCATCAATAGCGAACATTTTCCCTTATTAAATCACTATGCATTTAATTAGAGCTAAATTTCAAGCAGGCCTGTATAAGGTTAACTTTGGATATGGTTTTATACGTACAGTGAAAAGCTATTTTTCTATTATGTTGGGTACCATAATAGAAAAAATGAAGTTCAGTTCAATTATGTGTCATCTGAGATTATGTCCTGAAGGTGGGTGGGACGGGTTACAAGATGAAACAAAAGGTTACTAGTTTAGATCTGCCATTAAGGTTGAGACCTTAGGAGGTCCTATATCGATCCTTGGAACTTGGGTTTTATTGCTCTCTCTCCCATGTGTTTGTCCTTTTGCTTTAATGCTTTGCAATTGTGTCTTTACAATTAATTCCTTCTCATGTTCCAAATTAATTACTTGAGCTAATCTAAATTGAAACACTTTCTTGTGGTCCTTTCTCTTGTATATTAATTTATATAACTCATAAGAGCTGAACAATTTAAAAAAAAAAAAAAATAGAACAAAAAGAGATAGGCTTTTTCTTCTCAACTTAATGTTAAACCAAACTTTTAAAGATAATAATGGGGACCAAGAAGGTAGATAACTTATGGGGGGTGGTCCAATTCTTTGCTGGACCCAGACCCAACAATAATAACGGACTTAGAATTATCTCACCAAGTGTTTTCAACCATCAAGATTATTCGTCAGTCCCTATTACTTTCTATCTATATTGCAGGGTCATCTTAAATAGAGTGAGATTTGTCCTTGGTAATAGTATATACCAATTAGGGGTATATCTCTAAATACCTATGTGGATTCACTGTCTTCACCCACAAGTTGTTGGAAAATTTAAGATCTATAATGAACAATTTCTAACACATTAGGTCAAGGAAGGGACTGCAATGTATCAAACATATCTGAGAATAGAATAAGGCATAAAGGAAAATCAGTCTGATATATTTGTTTTAATATGGGGCTCTTGGGACTAGGGTCTACCAGAAGAGATGGTCCTTAATAGAAGCCTCTATAACTAGCTAGGGTTTTGGCTTATAAGGAATCACCCTGTTCAGTCCTTCTCACCTTCATTTTTTTTTTTTTTTTTTTTTTTTCGTTTTCTTTTGGGAGTTTAAAACTTTGTATATATTTCTTTTTGAAGGAAAATTTCAATATTTTAGAAAATCAAAATCAACTACCAAAGGGTAGAATTAATTAATGCATCAACCAAAACGTATAAACAAAAAATAAAATAAAATCCATAAACATAACATCTACATAAAATAAAAACAGCATGCTTAAACATAAAGTTAAGTGTATTACATATGATCTACTATATATTAAAGTCCAACCTTTTTCAATTGCTGTTTAGTGTTTACTACTAACCGCATTGGAGTATCATCAGATAGGTCACCCATAAAATACTTTAATTAATGTCATCCTATTTTGAAAACATTTCCTAGGTTAAGTGGCCTATGTATCATGTAGTACAAAAGAATTCGATTTGTTCGTCGAGTTACCCAATGCATTGTAAATCAATTATTCAGTGTTTGAAAAAAGTGTGCCAAGTTACTGCAGGTTTGAACTTTGAACATGGTGAAGCAAAATCTCCCCCTCCCCACTCAAAACGAAAATATATAGAAATCAAAAGCGTATAAGAGTAACTTTTAGGCTTCAGGCACACTTTTGAGTTTTAACAACCGGGAAGATTATATTTACAAATTTTTTGTTTACAAACTCTTACAAAATACACTAAATATGACCGGAATCAAGAGTGTATGACCGGTCATATTTAGTGTAATTTGTAAAAAAAAATTGTAAACAGGTCATTTCTCTTTAACAACAATCTTAACATTCTCATCCCTTTTTTTTTTTTTTTTTTTTCAAAAAACCAAATATAAGTGTAAAACTAATTTCTATGTTGACATTTTCTTCTACTCAAGTAAGTAATGAAAGCCATTTGCATTCATTACCTATCAGTTAAATGGCCCCAAAAACAAAAACACCTAGCTATCACTTGTGGGCTATAAATATGAACTCTTGATCGCCCTCATGGGCCAAACAGATAGTGAATGCAACAATCAGAAATGGACTTTGCATATTGGATTAAAGCCAGTAATTTTATGAAATGATCCAACTTGAGTTGTAGGCTCAGTGAAGACTAGTTGTAGGCTTCAAGGCCTCATTTGGGGACTCTTGTACCAAACAATTACATAGGATGAGACTTAGACTTTTGAAAAAAATAAATTAAAAATAAAAAACACCTTGAAATTGCTTTAAAGCAATTTATAACATTTTTTTTTTTGGAGTTACTCAACCCTAATTATCTCTTTGAGACGAGTTGGCTGCGCTATCTCCACGAGCTTCGACTCTTTGAGCCGGCTATGGGACTAATCCGGAGTGCGGGGAACAGTGATGGCTAAAGGTTCAGCCCCCTCCCCAAGAATGCATTCAGCGGGAATCGAACACATATCCAACCTCACTAACTCAGCGCCAAGTTACCAACTGAGCTGCACCCATTGGGTCAATTTATAACATTATTAATGAAATGTTGAATATCAATTATTTAAGTAAGTAATTGGTAATACTAACAAGTGAAATATCAAATTTAAATATTAATTATTTAAGTATGATTGGGGTTAAATAATTCATAATATCAATTATATTCAATGTGAATTAACTCATTTTGTCATTCTTAATTACGTAATTTAAATTAGTATGTTATTTCAAATTTTGAAATTGCAAGATCCTTTCTTTGTTTTTAATTTTGTGAATATTACTGACCGTAAATTATAAATATATCCAAAAAAACATTTATTATATTTATTTTAAGGGAAAAGTATTTCTCCGGTCACCGGAGATAAAGTTATCTCCAGTGAGTTCAAAACGACGTTTTTTGGGTTATAAGATTAAAAAATTATAATGACAAAGACTAATATAACCTTACAATATATTATAATTACAAAAACACTTTGATTTCTGTCTCAAAACAACGTTGTTTTGAGCTCACTGAAGATAACTTTATCTCCGGTGACTGGAGAAATCATTTACCCTTATTTTAATGAGACAGAATATTGTAACAACCAATTAATATTATTACAATGTTACTACTACCAATCAATTTCATCGTTAGATCGATTATGTTGATCTAACGGTTATATTTATTTATATCTTTGTATGATTATGATTCCTCATATTCAATGTCAAATCATTAAATATGGAAAATTATAACCATACAAATATAAAAATAAATATAACCGTTGGATCAACATAATCGATCTAACAATGAAATTATTGATAATAATATTAATTAATTGTTATAATATCCTTTCCTTATTTTAATAGAAAAAATTATGCATATATATGAAAAATTATTAAAATTGATAATATTCAATCTTTTCGACGCCAAAGTCTCGAGCTCCTGAATGGCTGCATCGCTTGCAATACCCAGCAGCCACCGTGATCGGTGTTGAGAAAGGCTTCAACTCCGCTCCTCCGTCATCAACTTCGACAATTGCGGTACAACACTCTTACAGTTACTACATTTTCAAAGTTTACCCACTATCTCGATGCTTGGTTGGGTTGAAGGAATGTGGAGATTATGTTAATATATGATTTGGGTCTCTCTTCATTTTTCTTTTTCTTTTTCGTTTTTGGGTGGTTACGGTTTCCAGGAGGAACCAATTTTGTGGTGTCCTCGTGTTGTTCGATGAAATGCCCCAATGAAGTGATAATTCTGAATGGCTGGGTCCTTGACTTTGGAAGGCTTAACCCCTTTCTTTATTTTTTTTATTTTGTATTTTATTTCGAGGTTAAGAATTGTTTTCTATGGTTGCTTGTGCTTGGTTGAGCTAGCATGCACCTTTTGAATCAAAACTCATGAGTTTGTGTTGAAATTATCATTCTCGGTTTGTTTAGGTTAGGAGTTTCATACTTCTGCTTGGTTTTTGGGAGAGTGATTAAATAAAATCTGATCCAAAATAAGAGAGGATTTTGTTTTGTTTTGTTGTTTTTTTTATTTTTCCTCCTCCGAGGTCTATGTTAATGTTATTTGACTCAAACCAAATCATGGTAGCTCAGTTGCTGCATAGAAACTGAGTAGGTGAGAGTGAGAACATGTGTTCGACCATTCCCAGTTCACCTTTGGAAAATTTTGGACCCGCCCCGAATTCTGGAGTAATCCATAGAGAACCTATGGGATTACCGGTGGAATAATCTCCAAAACAAAAAATGTTATTTGGCTTATACTTGGACCATTTTGCTTATTACTATTATTAGGACAAGGGTAGAAGCTTAGTTCCTTGGAGTATAATTGGGGGTCAGGATATGTTTAGTGACAGAGACTGATCACAACAAGAGTGAATTTATATAAACAATTTTGAAGATCGCTTGCTGGGGTTGATTTTGTGGATGAGTTTGACTTGGTTTGAAGACTACTTCCTTCCCAGGTGCTGTCTGCCGATGTTTTATGCCAGATTTTAATTACTGTTATAAGGCCTTCAATTTGTTGATAAATTTTGGATTATTACCTTAAGTCTTTATTTTACATTCTAATTTTATTAATTTATTTATGTATAAGTAAACAACTTTACAAAATTTATGAATGAAAATTTCATGCAATCCGATTCCAAAATATATATATATATATATATATATATATATATATATATATATATATATTTCTCTTATGAAATAAACAATTGAAAATTCTGCAATAAACTACTTTTTCAGGAAAAAAATTCAATAAAATGTCTATTTGTTGCTAACACTGTTTAAGAGCATTAGAGTTCCACTTTGTGTTTGTCTGTATTGATTGATATATTCACATTTTGATTCTTTTCCGAATTCCTACTGCTAAAATTAATAAAAATGATTTGTTTAATGTATTTTGGTCCTTGTTCAAACTTTACATTTAAAGCCTTTTTTTAATATTTATTTTCATCTATTTCCATTTTGCAGTACCCAAACATTTCTAAACACTGCTTCACATAAGTTACACGCGTTTTTTTTTTTTTTTTGCAGATAGCACTGAATGTCCTGTTATTGCAGGGAATTTAGTCTTGCTAAACATGATGTTATCAAGGCTAAGTAGGAGAATTCATCTCTCGCCATACCTTAAGGCTTTGAAAAATACCTCTCCTGAATCCAGGTAACTTGATGCTAAAGTCATTCCTAAGTTCGAACCCCCCCCCCCCCACACACACACAACCAAGCATGTTTGTAATAAAAGAAATAAAATTGTACTTTACTACTTGAGTAGACTTCTCAAACCAAATGTTCTCTACAGTGATCCGTTCTAATTGAAAAGATACACATGTTTGCAGAGATACCTTTTTGCCTCTCCAAAGTCTGACTTGCAGAAAAAAATGAAGGAAAATCAGTTTCAACTTTAATGAGTTGTTATTTATAGATGCTTTTGTTTTTGATTCAGGTGTCTATCTATTGTTCCTGAAGGATCAAGTTACAAGTTCATTAATTGTAATACAAGATTCCAGCACAATATCACTTGTAAAATACGGTTATCAAAGCTTAAGCAGGAATTGAGTACAAAGTCATTCCATCAGTCTTACCGCTCTTCAGCTTTTACTTCACGTTATGTTGGAAGGACATGTTCCATGCCTGGTTTTCGAAACTTCTCATCTCATGCATCCAAAGAACAGAAATCACAAAAGATGCTTTTATACTTGACGGGCTTGGCTTTTGCAATGGTTGGATGCAGCTATGCTGCAGTTCCCCTTTACAGGAGATTTTGTCAAGCAACTGGCTATGGGGGAACTGTTCAACGGCGTGAGGTGTGTTTGAGTTTGTTTTCAATGGTTTTTTATTTTCTCATCAAATTGATTGCAATTTTACTTCTTTTTATTACGAAATTTTATATTTTTACAGAGTGTTGAAGAAAAGATTGCACGACATGATAGTGATAAAACAGTCACCACAAGGTGTTATTTTTTACTTCTTAGATGTTACCTTTTTACCATTAGTTGTAGTAGGATTAATTTCTTGTTTCTCTTGTTGATGAATGCATGGTTAATAGAAGTAGTTATTGAATTTCCAAGCCTTTTAAAAAAATACATATTTTCACCATTTCCATGATTATAACGTTGTGGTTTCAATTCTTTGGGCTTTGTACTCCTTCATTTTACTAGGCATTCTTACAAGATAGTATTCTTTAGATTAAAAAACTATGCAACGGAAGATTAACCTACAGATTTATTTGTTTAGCTTAATGCTGTACTAGGAGAAAATTTTACTGCATAAAACTTGCCTATTCCGAACCGTTGAACATATTTCTCTTATCAGCAGTAGGACTTTACTTTTGGTATGTCAAGGGACAATTAAGTAATGATTCAGTAAGAGATCTGCTTACAAGGCATTATTCAATAAATATCAGTTAGGGTGTGGTGATTTGGAAGCTAGCTTTAGCGCAGTTGTAATAGGTTGATGAGTTACCTTTTTTTTTTTTCAGGGAAATTGTGGTGCAGTTCAATGCTGATATTGCTGATGGAATGCAATGGAAATTTGTTCCTACACAGAGAGAGGTTCTTTACTTAACATCCTGGACCTTACATCAAATATGCTGCATTTCCATCACAAAAATAATAAAAATAAAAATATATAAAATTACATGTGAAGTATTATGTAAGATAACTTTTAATTTTATTTCTTGAAACTGTTGAATTTATTTATATTTGTCCATGATAATTTAATAATGGCAACTCAGAGAGCTGCTAACAGTCAAGATATAGCTCTGAGCTTTTGTTTTGAAAGGCTTGGTTGTCGTAATTTAATCTTTTGTGGGACAGATTGTATTTTTCAAATCCAATTATATTTGTATGCTTAGTTTACACTTGCACCTTTGACTGTGTGTTTGAACCCTTCTGTTGGCTTGCAAATTTTCATTTGTCATTAAATAAGTTGGATGTTGTACGCATCCCCTGGAACCCAGAGGGGAAAAGGAGAAAGTCAAAGTAAGAATTGTAACGTAGCATTATTCATTTGTTCTACCAGGTTAGGGTCAAGCCCGGAGAAAGTGCCCTCGCATTTTATACTGCTGAAAACAAAAGTTCTACTCCGATAACTGGTGTTTCTACATATAATGTCACTCCTATGAAGGTACTGACTACTGATGTTTACTCTGTTCTATTGTATAACAAAGGTTGTCCTTGATCTCTTCACAGGCCTATCTACTATGAGAACCTGAGATTTTTCAAAGTTTTTACTTCTTGATTAAAACCTTGTCTTTTGGCTAATGACAATATCATTTTTTAAGGGCCCGTTTGGATGAGCTTTTTTCCAGTTAAAAGTTACTTTTTTTCCCAAAAAAAAGCACTTTTATTGTAAAGTGCATTTGGATGACTGCTTTAAAAAAAAGCAGAAGTCATAAAAAAAGTCAAAAACCTACTTTTTTCATAAGCTAAAAATTTTAACTTCTCAAAAAAGCAATAGTCAAAAGCCAATTTTTTTTCAAAAATTCTTTTTTTTAAAAAAAATCTAAATGGTTTTAACTTTTTTAAAAAGCACTTTTAAAATAAGCAGGGCATAAAAGTAACTTTTTTTAAAAGTTAATCCAAACATAAGTCTGCCTGTTGGAAGTCCTTTTGAGTTCTCTTTTCTGCTATTGACGAGCTTGACTTTGAAGAATTATTTTTACAAAAATTGTCCAAGTTACAAATTTTCGTATACAGGCTGCAGTGTACTTCAATAAAATACAATGCTTCTGCTTTGAGGAGCAGCGACTTCTTCCTGGAGAGCAGATTGACATGCCTGTAAGTGGTTTCAAACTGAATTTCAGTGGAAGCATAATGTACATGCATCTAAATATTGTGTTGCTTGTACTGTAGGTATTCTTTTATATTGACCCAGAAATTGAGACAGATCCTAGAATGGATGGTATCAATAACATTATATTATCATATACTTTCTTCAAGGTTTCAGAAGAATAAGACCAACTTGAATGTTCACATGAGATTTAAATAACAAGCTCCCTCCTTTTCAAAGGGTGAAAGATGCCTAGAACATCCATGAAGCTCAAGTTATGGATATTTGTTTTTGGTGACTGGTGAAGGACTAAAATTCATTTTATAATTTGTTTCCCTCAACATTATAAATAAAGATAAGGTTACCTCTTCTCCTATATGCTTGCTAAGTTCTTGGCTGTTTCCGACCAGTGATCAGGTTTTGAAGGTTCAACATACCATGCCATGAAGTTGTGAATTATGCTGATTTTCTGTTGTATAAATTATTGCGTGTGATCTTTCAAAATCACTTTGCTTGGTAATCGCCTGTAGAATAGTTGAGTTACTACATTACTTTGCTGAAGCAGTGTTTTTCAGTCAGTTTACTGTGCCATGTGGAATGCAGCAGAGATTTGGTGAAGGACCTCTTGAAAGTAGCCATTTAGATGAATTATTTTTTTTGCTTTTTAAAATTCTTTGAAAAATCATGATCGTCTAAGAACAGTAAAAGGTTGAGATCCTGGCAAAATAGCAAAATGCCGATCACATCTATGAATAGTTGAAAGGAATGAATTTGGGGTGATTAATCCTTTTGTCCTTAATTAAAATAAATATTACCGCTTTATCCTATACCAAAACATTTTATACCTCTGTCCATTTTTTATTGTTGACCGAGTTATGTACTCGATTTGAGCATAATATATTTGAGTTGTATACTTGAATATTATTCGTGATTTGAGTTTTTTAAAATGATGTAATCGAATACCCAGTTGTATACTAGAGTATTTCTCCAACTCTGCAGCAGTCCGAAAAGCAAACACGAAATGTCATCACCTTTTTAAAGATTCAGAGGGAAGTAATCACTGTATGCTAGCGATCCTGACAGCAAACTCCGGGAAATCACATCATTTTTCATTACACAAGTTCAATGTGGAACACAGCAAAAAAAATAAGTCATGGGAAGGTGTAGTTTCTTGCAACTGCACAATCTAAGAAGCAAATAGTGCCATGCCAATACATTTTTCTAGGGCCAAAACAAATGGGAATATAAGTATTACTTTAACCCAATCATAAATTTAGTTGGTATATCAAAAAATTCCTTCTTTAAAGGAACTGTAGGCCAGCCTTTCAAAATCAACCGAAATAAAACAGCAATCAAGGTAGGGAATCAAAACACACCAAATTATGAACTTGAAGATACCATCTGCTGGGAACAAATATAATAGGAAGAAATATATTTTGCAAGATCTGAATAACAGAGAGCAACTTCCCTTTTGTTAGTGAGAGATGGCGAGTTTTTTTTTTTAATTTTTTTTCAGGGAAAATGATGAGGTGGTTGATTTGCTGGTGAACATTGTATCGGGTAGATGTTATTTGCTTACGGGTTTGATGACGTGATTCAATACCAAAATTTATTTCTTTTTTTGGGTCTTTCATAAAACATCAAAATTTCCTCAATGAATGTTGGACAAGGATTACTAAGATACTTCCATACCCGAGTACTCGAGTATTCTAGTCACGTACTCGAGTATAAACAAATGATGTTTTGTTACAAGAAGCATAGTAGCACGTGAGAAGCAGCTTAAAGGGTTGTCACGTGGAATTGTTACGTTATGCAAGTAGTGGAAGCTTCATTAGCCATTGCTAGTCTATAAATAAAGGATGTAATAGTTGTATTGATTCTCTCATTGAATGAAATATCAGAAACCTTCTTCGTTCTTTTCTCTGTTATGCAAATCAGGGGTTAAACCCTAACATGCTTACATTCAGCCTTATCCCACGAAGGTTACTAGATCATGTTGGTTACGTACTCGAGTGTGATGTCCACGGCTAAACGGGAGCAAATTAGTGTAATGTTTAGAGGAAATATCAATTTTTTAAATAGTTTAAAATGGAGGCATAGTGGTAATTTTTAATATAATTAGGGGCACAATGGTCAAAAAAACCTATGAATTTGGTGGCAAGTTTAATGAGACATGTATCATTGTATCTTTATATTTTAGGGTTTAGATGAGTAGAAAAAAAATTTTATCACTCATCTTAACCGTTGATTTTCGTGCATATGACGGTTATAATTTATAAGAGATTTATAAGTAATTAATGGATATATTTTAATAAATTAGATGCACGTAAATTGACGATTAAGATGAGTAGTAAGATTTTTTTTTCTCACACCAGAGTCAAATAAGGAGGGATCTTTTGACTCTGTGTAAGAATTAAAAGTCTTATTCCTCATTTTAACCATTAATTTTCATGCATCCGACAGTTATAATTTATTATAAATTTAAAATTAATTAAACCGTCAGAGACATGAAGGTATTTTTTAACTCTAGTGTAAGAATAAGAAATCTTATTCCACATCTTAAATGTTGATCTCCATGTATTTAACAGTTATAATTTATTAAAATATAACTAAATCCCATTATTTCCTATTTTGTTTTGGAGATAATCCCATTATTTTCTAATTTAGGTTTGACAGTTTCTAGAATTTTTTTATTTTGGAAAATATTTTTAAGTAATTATTTTTAATATTATTCTTTTTTTTTTTGGCTAAAACAAACCGTGCCACCAAACAAAGTGGATTAAATGAAGAAAGAATGTGTATCATTTTAAAGGATGTAAAGTTGTGTCATTTAAAAGGACAAACACTTTTTCCTTTTGTATTTTTGGTTTGCTTTTTTTTTTTTTTTGGTAATCTATTTTTGGTTTGCTTTATTATAGTTAATTACTACCTAACTGTTTAATATAATCTCTCCTTTTTTTCCCTCTTATTTATCTCTTCGTTTATCATAGTTCCCACAAATTTTCTTCTCATTAGGGACCATCCAAATTCAAACTGTTCCTTGCCAATGGAGTTGTACATAATTAAGTCTTGTTAATGAAACTCAATTCCCAATTGTTAATCGAGAAGTCATTTTTCCATGTAAAATCAAAACTTAATTTATTTGTTTGTTTAACATTTTGCTCACTTGCTCTTGTTATTATTGTCCTCGGGTGTAAATGAGTTAGGCTAACCTATAAAGGCATATGACCTAGCCTATATTAGGTCAAACTTGACCTATTATAAATAGTCAAATCGAATAGGCTTAGACTTTAAAAAAAAACCTATTTAGAAAGTAGGCCATAGTTTTTTTTGTACATATCAGACCTATAAGCCTACATGCCGACCTATATTATATTATTTATTTTAAATAAAATAAATAAATTATTATTTTAATAATTTTGAATAATAAAATAATATTATTTTAGTTATATTTTTAAATATTAAATGTTTAATAGGTTTAAACAGGCTAACAGGCTTAGGTCAAAGTTTTTATTTTTTAAATATAGGTGAGGTCAAACTTGTAATTTGGGCCTATACAGGCTAACAGGCCAAGCCATACCTAAGATTTTTTACACATATCTGACCTATTTAAGACAATCAAATCCAATTTTTTTTGGTTTGTATTGGATCAGTTTTCGATTTTTTGAAAAGCCTAAAATTTGTTGTATGATTATTGTGCAAATAACATATTTTTTGGTATGTATTGGTTTTGTAAAGTTTTATTTTTTGAAATACAAAAATATCAGTAAATGATAATCTAATTTTTTTTTTGGCAATGAGATATGAAACTCTACACAGATGAAATTTTGCTGAATGGGATGTGGCTAAGTTTTTTCTTGGGTTTAGTTGATGGGTTAATGGGTCTTGGTTTTAGAATTTTTTGGATTATAATTGGCAGAAAACCCAAATAGATAATGAGGAATTAATATATTGGATCGATTTGGATTTGATCGATTTTCACCAACCAAACTGAAAACCAATTCAATCCAATTAAAATTGTGAGGGTTTTTTTAGATTTTCAATTTCTTAATTTTTGATTTATTCGGTTATCGATTTTTCGATACGATCGTCGCAGTTTGAATCGGTTGATAAACACCCTAATTATTATTAATCAACGGAGAGGTTGAGTATTTGTACTCTCAAGCTCTCAGTAGTCCATGACAAAGTCAGAAAATTGTGAGATGAGACGAAGAAGGTAAAATTCACATTATCTTAGATATTTTTATGCGCTTTTGTTATCAACTTATCTAAATAAAAAACATTCAACTCCTATTAAATGGGCGTCAAGACTCAAGCCCCTTTTTATATATTAATTATAATTTAAAATTCAAAATTTTAAAAATAAATATAACGATAACTATTTCTATAAATTAATAACTAAATTATTATAATTAAATCATTCAAAACATATCATAAATTTTAGATCGATCTCAACTCACATCAAATTTGTTGCTTTGTTTTGTTAAATAAATCAAAATCATATATGCGGCTTCTTTTGGACTTTGATTTAATCATAATCTATTAAATTTTAAATTTTTGTTTCTTTAAACATACAATCCCTTAATTGGTTGAGTCATGCCCATTATGCTGCACTACATTTCTTTTACGTCTTAATATAATATAATTAAGATAAATGTTTAGTGAAATTGAGGGTACCATAATGCCTCCCTACCTCCACGTTGAACCCTTTTTAGAAAGCCATTTCAATTAAACTAGTTACACTAAGTGATATATTTTATTTAATTGAGAGGTTATATATAGAATTGCAATCCACATAAATAGACAAAAGATGAACTGATGTTCGTTATGTACTTATGTTTATTGTATAATGAATGTATATTAATTTTCTCACATTGTTATTGGAAAAAATGTTTCTCATGTTACATATATAACTTAAACGACGTCGTTTTGAAGTTTAAAATAAAAAATAAATGATATTTTAGAAATTTTCTTTTCCTATTGAAATATGTATTTAACTAAAATATCTTTTATTTTTTATTCTAAACCTCAAAATGGGGTTCCAGATTTCTAGGAGATAACTTTATCTCATGTCACAGGAGAAATATTTCATTTTTATTTATTAATAAATTTATTACATATTCAAATTGCTATTATAATACACTTAATTATTGGTTTTCATTCTTATTATTACAATTTAACTAGTTGAAATAACCTTTATATATACTCATCTCCATTTAAAATCTTACTTCTTTGTACCTATTTACAGCTATAATTTATTGGAAAAGTATGTATCATGGAGATAAAATTATTTTTTGTGAGCCAAAACGATGTCGTTTTAGAGTTGTAAAATTAGAAAATTATATGATAAAGATTAATACAATCGTGCAATAAATCAGAATTATAAAAAGAGATAAGTTATTCTACCTACACGTACTCTGCTTACCTTTGCCTACTCTTTTGACATCGTTAGATTACAATCTCATCCAACGATGAATATCTGCAGAATAAAATAATTTTTTTTTCCTTTCTTTCTCATCGTTTCCTCTCACACCCTTCTCTCTAAATCTGTTTCTCCAAAATGAAAAAACGCATACCGCGATCAAAGAAAAAACGAAAAAAAATAACACTGTTATTCAAATCAAAATTTAATGATCAAATAACATTTTTTCTAATTATTTTTATAATTTCAAAGCTGAGTTTCTTGTTGTACGTAGATACTACGGAATCAAATGACTTTATCCCTTCATATGTGCTTCCCTGTCCTTTTAATTTAAAAATGATATTTAGTAAAAAAGAAGAAGTTGAAATAACAACAATAAGAGAAAGTTTTGCTATTTAAAACAGATTTTTGTTATTCTAAACTGTCATTTGTTTTTTTTTTTGTGGTTAAAGCGATATGTTTTATATGATAACCCTCGTTAGTAGTTGTGAATTTAATATTGAAGAATAATTAAGAGTAAAAGAAATGAAGTCACATTTGATGAAAAAGGAGTTAAAATGACAGTTAAGGAATAAAAAATGCAGGTAAGCATAGTTACCTGAAAAGTGAAAGTAAAATTTGAAATATGACTAGAAAAATATTCTAATTCATTAGATAAAGTTTGATAGTGAACAGAGGTGTATAAATAAATAAGTTGTTACCCAATTAAAGTAACTTAACTTTACATGCTATATAATCCTTTATATTCCTTCTTCCTACCCTTCTTTCTACCCGTACGCTGCACTTTTCTTCTTCTCCATGCCCGAAGCGTTTCCATGGAAGGGGGTTTAGGTTTCAATTTTTTTTCTTTGATTTCTCTCTACACAAGAATCCAAATCAAAAAGTCTAATACACAAAATTTATAGGAAATCACTCAAGGAATCCATTCCACCACTCTATTTGGGCTGATTTTGCTTGTGGAGGAAGTTCTTCCTCACCCTCCTTTCGTTTCACTATTCATCAAGGAAGGAAAATGAAAATTTTGATGGAGCCTTGCTTGGAAGTTGCTCTCTAGACCTTGTACAAGCTATTAGAGGTAATAAACCTCTATTTCTATGGTTTATTTCTCATGATTTAAGTTTGGAAAATTTAGAATATGTTTGGTGGGGAAAACCTTGAATTTAAAAATTAAATTGATGATGGATTATTGATTTGTTTGGATATAGGAAGGTAAAATAAGCATTTGTATATGTGTAGAATTGGAAAAAAAATCCCTTGGTATTGTGTCCCTCATGGTTCGACCATGATGGTTAAATAGGGTTCATGGTGAAAAAAATTTAAGGTCATGGATTGCGAAAGTGGTATGTCGGTGTAAGTGAACTTATGTGTAAGGAAAAAGAAAATACCAAAGAGAGAAAAATACTATGGTGTGGTACACATATTTTCGGCCATAATAGACTTTGGAGGAGTCTAATGTTTAAAATTTAATTAGACGTTATGGTCATGTATATATATATATATATATGTGTGTGTGTGTGTAAGTTGCAAAAATTAAGTGAAGGAAATAAATTGAAAAAGAAAAGAACCCTTTGATATTCCCTTATAGATTTCGACCTATAGGGTGATATAGGGATAGATTTAGTTACATTTTATTTTAATAAAATGTGTTCATTCCAAGGTATATAATGAATGAGTTAAAGAAGAGAAATGACTTAAAAATTGTTGAAAGAAATCTTGGTTTCCTTTATGTGTATCCACGGCCTTACGAGGAAAAATGGCATGATTTATGTTGAAAATTCTCAAGTGAACACTTGATTAAATTAAAGAACGCTAACGATTATAAAATGATCTAGACTTGTGAATTGACATAGGATTGACAAAAACGTAAAGAAACGGAACTAAGCGAGAAAATGTATGCCTTATGAAAATCTAGGCATGATAGCATTTTATTGATTTGTATTTTGGATTCTTTCTCTAGGTGTACCTAGGGACTGAAAAGGATCAGAATCTCTTGAAGATATATAAGTAACTTGTGCCACAAGTAAGCGGATTGAAAAAAAAAAGCTTCAAGAGGTAAACTCTATGTTTATGGGGTTCGCTCCTACTTGGTGTTCCGCCATAGTGTACGGACTGTGGTCAGGTTGTATGATATGTATGAGATATATGATATAGATGCATTCATATAGAGCTATATGATAATATGATATGTTTTGTTTTGATGTGTTTACTTTGATATGTGTTAATATGATATGTTTTATTGAGTTCCGCTTGGGGTCCACCCTTTGGAACACGTACACTGATTTCCACTTGGGGTCCTCCCCTGGAATTGACTGTGTACACATTTGTTATATGACTTGTTCTGATATGATTTCTGTATTGATCTTTGGCTAGAATTGACTTGTATGGTACACTGATGTCTTCTTGGGTTCCCCTGAGATTGACGGTGTATGCCTCTGATATGTTCTGGTTTCGCTTGGGGTTCTCCCTTGGGAACACGTGCGTTGATTTTCGCTTGGGGTCCTCCCTTGGGAATGACTGCGTACGCCTTTGATATGTTCTGGTTCCGCTTGGGGTCGTCCTCCGTTGGGAACACGTGCGTTGATTTCCGCTTGGGGTCCTCCCTTGGGAATGACTGCGTACGCCTCTGATATGTTCTGGTTCCGCTTGGGGCCCTCCTTTGGGAACACGTGCGTTGATTTTCGCTTGGGGTCCTCCCTTGGAAATAACTGCGTACGTCCCTGATAAGATATGTGTATATGTTTTGTTTAGTTATGATAATTGATTATATGACATGTTTTATGTGATACGTATGATGATTTTGTAAATGATATTTGTTACGTACGTTGATTTTCGCTTGGGGTCATCCCTTGGGAACGATTGCGTACGTCTCTAATATAACACGTTTTGTTCTGATGTGAGTATTGTGATGATTTTTGTAAATGATATTTGTTGCGTACGTTGATTTCCGCTTGGGGTCATCCCTTAGGAATGACTGCGTATGTCTTTGATAAGATATGTATATATGCTTTGTACAGTTATGATAATTGCTTATATGATGTTTTGTATATTATGTATCTGAGTGTCATGCAAGTGAGCCCAGGGTATGGAGAGTTTTCCATAAACCTGGAGTTTACTAGAGATTCGTCTCTAACCCCGTTTGGGGATATGATTTCAGGAACACAGTTAATTGAAGAGCCTCATGGGACAAGGACACAAACTGTGGCTAGAGGTACTAGTATGAGGATGTGGAGTTCTGGGTGGCTGGAGGCTACTATTTCTTTTAGACGTATTTTTGAAAAAGATGTATTGTTGTATAATGTTCATATTCGATGCATGTACATTTGTGTATTCAGATATGTGCATGTGCTGAAATACGTATGCTGTTAGACATAGTGGCACAAAGCTAAGTTATGCATGCGCCCATGAATGGATATATGATTTTATTTTGGATGTCTAGTACTTCTGAAAATACATTCTGTATAAACTATCTATTAGGAACTTTTGAGAGTGGGATTGGAAAATTCCCGGTTGTCCGATTTACGGAGGTTACTCTGTCCGATTTTCGTCTTCGTCGAATAAGAATTGAACTAGGAAAAATGTGCAATGTGATTAGGTCATGTGAAAATGGATTATGAAAAAGAAAAAGTTAGCTCGTATTTTCATAAGTTTAAGTCTTCCGCGGTTTCTGATAAATATCATATGTATGTTAATTGAACCGGCTCGAGGCTGGGGATGTTACATTTTAATTGGAGAGACAAGGATGAAAACAAAATAAAAAATATTATAGATGAAAAATAGGTAATTCGAATCTATAATTATACATGATGAAGTGGCAAATTCACCCTTTTCTTTTTAATGTAATATTAAATGCTTTCAGCTAAGAATAAACTGCAAATTTATTTCAGAGAAAATCGTTTCTGCATCAAATGCAGTAAGTTTTTTGCATTTTCTCTCACATCGTTTTGTATATTATTATTTTTTTAAAAGAAAAATAGTAGATCTTGATTTTTTATCTCAATGACAGTTATTTGTTTCTCTAGTACTGCTCCAGAAAAATAAAACCCTTTATTTCATTATGTGTTCTTTTAGTCAATTCAATTCAACAAAACTAGCTTATGGAAGCAAAACAGCATAACGTCTCAAATAGATGATATTCTATTTTGAAATAATATTATATTTAACAAAAATGTAAATAAATAAATAACACTCCAAAAGAGTGTTTTCCTTTCATTACAGAAAATTCTTTATTCCATTGAAAGCAGTCACTGAGACTTTTCTTTAATCTTATATGGTTCGGTTTCGAGTGTTTCCCAAGAAAACACACACATATATATATATATATATGAGAAAAATATTTCTCTGACAACTTGAGATAAGTTTATCTCCAGCCACTTTAAAACTACGTCGTTTTGTTTATTTATTTTCTTATATTAATTTATTCACCTTTGAATGATTATGATTTCTTTTTTCTCTCTATTCCTTCATTACCATTGATCCATCTTTGTACGGTTATAATTTATTAGCCGGAAATAAAATTATCTCCGGCAGCTTGAGAAACGATAAGCCTATATATATATATATATATATATATATATATATATATATATATATATATATATATATATATATATACGGTTTATATTTCTGCAGCTGTTGTACGTGCAAAAATCAAATACTTGCCGTATATATATTTGAAAACATTAAATACGAGGAATCATAACTATACAAAGGATAAAAATATTAAATGCGGGGAATCATAACCATACACCTGTTATTGTTGTACGTAAAGCGGCGGCATAAATAATTTTACCTATATATATATATATATATATATATATATATATATATATATATATATATATATATGGAAAAATAAATCTTATGTTATAGAAAAATCTTAATCTTATGTCATAGATACATCAAGTGTGGGATTCACCTATTTTAAAAATAATAAAAAAAGAAAGAAAGAATGGCACACCTTTTATGGTATGTGTAAGAAGGATTTGTTTTCTTATGTAACATGAGAAAAACAAACCTCATATATATAGGATTTTATTTTTCTTATGTTGCATGAGACAATTTGTCTCATGAACATACAAAAAAGTGTATGGAACCCATTTTTTTCTCTCTCTTTTTTTTAGTGGGTCCCACTCATTTTTTATTGTGTTGCATGAGACAATTTATCTCATGCAACATGAGGAAAATAAAACCTATATATATATATATATATATATATATATATATATATATATATATATATATATATATACATATGATTCTAATGAAACTTGGTACAATAATTTCAAAGTAGACGAGTTTCTATGTGGCTTGAATACATTAATTTTAAGTCACTAGATTTGGTCTAGTGGTGAGGGGCTTGAGTATTTTATATTATGTTATGTGTTCAAGTCTCACTTGTATAAAAAAGAAGAATACAATAATTTTAAAGCTCTAGGCATCAACCCTTTTGAGGCTTCACAACTGTCTTATAAGTTATAACCACTATCTATATTTTTAACCATACTTATTGCTTTAAAGTTGGGGAGGTGAGAATGGATTGAGGAAGCTGTTCAAATAACGAACAAATTAATTGCAATGCACCCTTGAACTTTAAAGCAACAAGTATGGTTAAAAACTTAGATTGAATGTTCAAATAACCAACCTGTGATAAAGTATGTATGTATATATATATATAGGGTAAAATTACTCTCATGTAACATGAGAGTGGTTCTCTCATGTTACAAAGAGAATTCAAGTAGGGTTCGCTATTTAAAAGTAAAAAAAGAAAGAAAAAAAAAAAGGGCACGATTTTTGAAGTGAGAAAAAAAGGAGATAACTACTTCATGTAAAATGAGAATAGTATTTCCCATATATATATATATGTGCGCGCGCGCGCCTACCTTTTGCAACTTATCCACTTGTTTATTTTGCAGCTCATGAGATAGCATTTTGTTGTGACCCGTGCTACTGTGCATAACTGCGTATACGCAAAATCACATTCATTAATCACACACTCTTGTGATCTCTTGTTTCAAGGCACCTTTTTTTTTTGTACCATAATTATCATATGTAATTGAGAGAAGGGAGGAATTTGACAGTTGAACATGGAGAACTATAGATTCAAATTTCCTTTTTTTTTTTTTTTTTTTCCCCTTGTCTCTCCAATTAAAAAATGACACTTTTGAAAGAAAAATATCTCTCTCTTAAATACCAAAACTTTCTCTTATAGTTGTTAGGGAAATGCTTTTCGATCAGTTGCAGGGGAGAAGCTATACTTTCTTACAGAGACATTAATAAGTGGGGGCCATCATTTAAAATAAAAAAAAAATTAAAAAGAAAAGCTGGTGCAAAATCCTATGTATGTGTAGGAAGAAGGAATAGTATTGCTGCCACATAAGAAAACAAAATCCCTAGTTGTTATATGGGAAATAATTTTCTCATTTTACATGAGAAAATTTTTTCATGTTACACTCACAATATATAAGTGGATCTCATCTTGACTTTTTTGTCTTCTCACCTTTTTGTGGACCCCATTCATGTATTGTGAGTGTAGCATGAGAAAATTTGCTCATGTAAAATGAGAAAATTAATTCTCGTGTTATATTATTCATTTTGTACCAATTTATCATTTTTCAATTAAAAGGACAGGGAAGCAGACAGATAAAGGGTACAAGTGATTTTGAATTACTACAAAAAAAAAAAAACAAAAAAAACAAAGCATTTAAAATTTTTCATTTTGTAGGAGATAAAATTATCTTACATATAAAAATGTGTGAGGCTTAATTTTTCTCTTTCTCTCTATTCTCATGAGCCTACACACTTTTATGTGTATGTAAACAATAATTTTATCTTTTATCATATAAGAAAATTAAAACCCAAAAGTAAAAGGCAACAAGTGATTTGATTCGGTAGAACTATAAACAAGAAGAAACTCATTAACTTTAAAATTCTTAATATACATTAATTTTGTAACCAATATAATAAACAAGCTTGCATGTTTTGTCTATTTATGTGGATTGCAATATTTTCTACATTGAATGTACACGGAACATTCAAAATACAAATTCAAATCAAATAAAGAATGAGTCAGGTGACATTCAGCGTTTATTTTGTGTTTTCAACCACTAATTTTCATTCTTCGTATCACACAAGATGTTTGAGACCAACAAACCGAAGATGTATTGGCCTTATTGAAGTACAAGAAAACCAGATTAAGCACTGACTCTCACTAATTAATGAGAGGTGAACTAAAATTGCTTAGTGATACTGAGTGTGGTAGTTGAGACATTGTGGTCATGTTCAGTTAAAATGGTGTCTTTTCCATTGTCAATTAAATTGGAGAGAGAGGTGTACAAATTTGTTAAAGTCTTGTTGAAGGCTTTATCATGGATTCCCCACAACTTCAACTTGAAGCATTATATTGCCTTATAGTAAGTAGGTTGATTTTCGATTCTCAACCTAACGAATTGGATGACATTCTGCTTACCCTTAACAAAGCCAAAATCAATTCCACCATTGGTTAACGGCTTCAAGAAGAAACATTTGAAAGCTTATTATTAACAACCCTTTTGGCCTTTTTTTTTTTTTTTTTTTTTTGAGCTGTCTCTCGATCTCTTGCTGTGGAAATGAAAATGACTCGGTCTAACTGTGCCAGAGTCAATCAGATAAACCTTCATACATAAGGAAGGAAAATATATATGTACAAGTATTCAAAAGTCGAAACGGAAACACAAAATTTAGATTCAAGATAAAGCATAATTGGAATTGAAAAGACTGGCCATGCAATTTCTCAATAATATATATTGGGGTAGGATATTGTAACAACCAATTAGTGTTACTACCAATCAATTTCACCGTTAGATCGATTATGTTAATCCAACGGTTATATTTATTTCCATCTTTGTATGGTTATGATTCCCCATATTTAATGTAAAAGCATTAAATATATGGAAAATCATAACCATACAAAGGGAGAATAAATATAAAATATTAAATATGAAAAATCATAACCATAAATAAATATAACCGTTGGATCAATATAATCGATGTAACGGTGAAATTGATTGGTAGTAACATTAATTGATTGTTACAATATCCTTCCCCTGTATTTTTTTTATATAATTTATCGATTGGTTAATTACTCGATTATTCCAATTCAAATCAGATAGGATTATATGGGCGACAAAACAGCAAAGTTCTTTTTATCAAATTTTAACACATGAATTCTTAGGAAGTCGAACTTAAAATATCACTGGTTAATTAAGTTGGAACAATTTCTCAATATTAATCCATAATGGTGTTGTACCATGTGAGAGAATTATTGATTGAGAATTGGAGAATGAAAGAATTAAATAAGAGAATAGACATGAATTCACATATTGTTCATTGAATCTGAGTGACATGAGGATTAACTAACTGATTAAGAAGATAATGAGTGTTACCCAAGTTATCAGTATGTTAGTTAAGCAGCAACTACAGATATTGTCGTTTTGTCACTTTAAAGCATCTGATTAATTTTCTCCTTCTCAGTATATTTAATAAACTTTCTATAATTAAGAATTGCCCATACCATAAGGCATCATTGATTACACTTTCGTAAAACGGTAACTCCATAAATACCAAAAAAAAGAAAATGGTAACTATATGGGAGTTACTATAGTATTCTTTCTTTTCTGAATGGATTGGTTTTCCATCACATTAGTGTAATAAAAAGACTAAATTGTTTCGTAAAACTAGTTAATATATAGTCTTTAAAATTGCTTTTCACCTATAGTTTAATGAGTTTTTATAAATTTAAGAACTCATCTGTACATATGATTAAATTCAGGGAGTAAACTATAAAATGGAGAATAATTTCAAGAATTAAGGCCCGTTTGATTTCTGTTTCTAAAAATAATTTTTTAGTTTTTAGAATAAAATATAAAAAAATTAGTTTGTAAATAATTGTTTTATAAAATAACTCCCAAAACAATAACTGTTTTTTAATTTTTAAAATTAAAAATTGAGAACAACTTAGAGGTGTTCTCAAAAATTGTTTTTTTGTTTTTTTTTGTTTTTTTTTGTTTTTACAGTGGCAATTTTATAATTATGAGAATTTATTAATGATATTTTCGTAAATAAATACAACTTTTTTCAATTTCAAAGTATTTTACGGTTTCAATCTAGTAATATGAAAGTTCATTAATGAAATTTTTGTAAATAAATATTGCTTCTTTATAACTTTAAATCGAATCATATTCAAGACAGTTTTTTTTTTAAAAAAAAAAACAAAAAAAAAAAACAAGATAATATTCAAATAGAACCTAAATTGCTAATTCTCTCTCTTTCTCAAACTTTTTGGGACCAATAAATTCTATTAATTATTATATATGTATTCTTTAGTAACTTTCGTGGACATCTTTTAGTGTTGGATAGGACCATAAGAGCAGGAAAAAATTTCCTATCAAGTTTTTAACACAATTGTATATTCAAAATTTGAATTTGAGACCACTAATTAAGCTGGAATAATCTTTATCAGTTAATCCATGTATTTGATGGTTTTAGTGTGAGATTCCACTAAGCAACAAACATGATTTTTTTATAAAAAAAATAAAAATTCATAAAACTAAAAATACAACATATTAACAAATATATTAAATGAAAAGATTATATAAAGTGTTATTGATTCAAGTGATATGCTACTTGTTGTTTATATACTTTCAATAATTTCAGAATAGTTTTAGAAGAGCTGCTTCCTACATGAATTCATTGGGTAACTAATCAATAGGCAGAGAAAAATAATAAAAATTATTTATATACTTTCATCTAATATTTTAAGTTCTTTTTTTATTTCATCTAATAGTTGAAGCTTTTCTAAAAAAATAGTTCATGACAGTATGAAGGATTAAATGACAGAGCAGTGATGTGAAGCTGTGCCAGTGCTTGGATTACTACAGATTGAAGGATGGCATGGGAGTGTGTCTTCGGTTGGTTTGACGGCTTCAACAAGAAACATTTGAAAGCGGGCTATTAACAACCTTTTGGTTCATTACTTTTTGCTCTTTCAAAACTATTGTACTCTGTCTGCTGTGGTAATGAAAGTGGCTCACATATATATAATAAGTCTAAGTTCTATTTGAGATGAATAAAAAAAAATAAAAAATGCATTTCCTATGAAGGGTTGTTTTTATTCATCATTGTGCATGAAAGTAAGATGTAGATTAATTCTAGTAACTAATACAGAAGTTATTGTAATGACAGATTAGTATATATGTGAGCTAAGCTATACGGTCAATTACATACAACTTCTGTAAATTGAGATATTCCTCTTTATCTATATATGTCAAGCAATCAATGATACTTACATCGTGAGTTAAAATTTCGAGATTTGAAACAAATGATGGTAGCTCAATTGGTGCATGAGAGCTGAGTAAATGGGAGTGAGAGCATGTGTTCAATTCTCCCCAATACTATATTTGGAAGGAGTTTAAAACCTTAATCCAGACCCGTCCCGAACCAAAGCTGAAGTTGATTTTTTGGGTTTTATTATTCTCCTTCAACATAAGATAAGTATCTTATGTTGTAGAGATAAAATGGGTAGGTCCCACCATTACAAGAAAAAAGAAAAAAAAGAAAAAAGTGAGGTGCGGAAATCGAAGTGAGAGAGTAGGAGAAAAGTAATCTTATGTAAAAGGAGAGTAATATTTCTCTTGATTTTTTTCATGCTTTACTTACAGTTGATTACGCTAATTGTACCAGTGTACCACTTTAATAAAAACATGCAAATTTTCTCTTTCCAAAATACTATTGAACTTCTGCTTTTTAGTATTCAATCAACTTGCGTGTGTTGTTTAAGTGACTTCATAAACGAACATTAGTTCTACTCTGTACTTAAATTGACACTGACAACTAATATTAGTAGACGAATTTCTAATCAACTAACATGATCAAATTGAACATGCCAGTAAACTTAGGATTAATTAATGAGAACCAGGGATTATCCCTCATTTAAGCCAAGTGGAATTTTGAAGGAACATAGAAGGGTTTGACAAATATATGCTTGAGAGAGAGGTTTAATCAGAAAGTTTGGTGCAAGAGAGCATGCAAATCCTAGAGCATGTTGGTGATGTAGCAACAAAAAAAGAAAATTTTCAGACAGTTACCAACCTCCAAACTTCATATTTTCTTACTCTTTATATATAGTCCTCTCAGCTCAATAACGGCTGCATACACATCCCACTTAAACATGGAGAAAGCAAGTACTAAATCTGCTTTGAAGGTTGGGATGTTTAATTGTTTATGTTGTTTTGTTCTGTTCCCTCTTAGTTACTAGTTGAGTACTATGTCCTAACTCTTTCAATTCTTTTGCATCTTTCTAATTTTCCATGGCAAAAGTTTGTGAAGAACACTTCACAGTCTGCATCTCAATGGAGTAGTACTAATTCTAGAGAAATGGTGAGATTCCTAGCTTGTTCTACCTTCACATGTAATCCTTAAAAAGGCCACTCCTTGTTTCATTTGTCACATTTTGTTTCCCTATGAAAACTGAACTTCCATGCTTGAAGCTTCTCCTGCACTTGTTCTGTTCATACTCTACTTAAGGTTAAAAGTTAAGGAACTGTCAACTGCATCACATCTTGAATACTTCACTAGATGGTGATACAACCATTTTTTGGAGAAAAGCACACCTATGTATATGTATGCAGCAAGTTGGTTTACCACCTTGTGCCACAAGTTTAGTATATGCATACGGATGTGTTCTTTTGTGTGTGTCACTACTCGTTGTGTCATTATCAGTACTCTTAACACACACATATATATATGAAATGATAATTTACATAAAAGCCATTTTAGACATTCATGCACATGACAGATGTCAGAAGCAAGAGTAATACATTTTACCTTTTCAAATATTATCATTTGAGTTGTCTTAATTCCCCCATCCACCAAACAAGTTTATCCATGCAACTTTCTCCTTGTTATCATTTGAAAAAGTAAAAATGCTACATCCAATGAGAGATTTCCCAACAACAAAAAAAGGCCATAACTAAATCTTGTGAACTTTCCACCTGAAGAAGTTCAATTTTCTTGGGAAAAAGAAGTATCATTTTGAATGACATAAGCTTGTGTCATTTTAGGTGTTTTACACAAGGTACGACTGGTCGTACCTTGTGTAAAACTGAAAAGTTGCTTTTTTTTTTCTCTCCCCAGTCACATCGCTGACGTGTAAAGTGAAAAAAAAAAGTAACTTTTCAGAATTACACAGAGTACGACTCGTACTCTATGTAAATCACTAAAAGGACACAATTTGTGTCCTTTTGAATTACACACACTAAACCCTTAAATAATATTGTGGAGTCTCACATAAAAGGCATATAGTATGTAGTTAAATGAGTTCTATCTTTCTTTTCCTTTTTAAAAGCATACCCCTCAAGACGTACTCCAAAATTCATATTTGTTGTTTTTGTTTTCTCATTTGATATTTTCTAAAACTTTTGGTTTACTTCTATAAATAGAAAGGGGTTTTCCTATTTTCACCTAGTTTGAAAAAAAAATTGACTCTATTGGTATGTCTTATTTTACTTGGTTATCATAGGCATGCACACATTGTCCAGGGCTTATACGCTTAACTTTTCAATATAATGTTTCTCCAAGTTGTTCAGACATATTGGACCACTATTTTTTTTCACTGAGATTAAACTGGTGAACCATGAGGTCCCTTTCCATAACTTAGATAAGTGCATCGCCACCCCTGATGATTACACTAGTTCTCTATACTAATTTCATTATTATTATGCTTTATCACTCTTCTCTCTGTTTCTTGTCCATTATTCTATACATGATTGGTTTTTTTGAAAACTCTTTTAGCTTATTTATTATACGTGAGTCATGATTGCCACCTAAATATGCATAATTGGATGTTTCACAGACAAAAGATGTACTCAAAGATAAGTTCTATGACAACACTAAGGTAAGTAAAAATGGTACAGTTTATTCGACTTAATATATCAATTTCTTTCAAATTTGGTAAGCTATTTTTGTTTCTACCTAGGCTTCACGAAAGTCTCCTCCTAAAGAAAATACTAAACCACAAGAATTCAAACTCCACACTCAAGAAAGAGCAGTTAGACGTGCAATGTTCAACTATGCAGTAAGAAATAGTAAATGATCATTGCTAAAGTTAGCAATTTGCTTTGTGATTAATGAATGTGATTTTGCATATATGCACAGGTCACAACAAAATTCTATCTCATGGAGCTGCAAAAGAAACAAGAGGAGAGGTTGCTAAAGGTAGGCACATAATAATGAAGATAAATGGTTCTAATTATGAGAATGAGAGTAATATTAGAGAGAACTTTATATTTATGAAATTAATTAACTCAATATGGAGCAGATGATTGAAGAGGAAGAGATTCGTTTGCTAAGGAAGGAAATGGTTCCAAGAGCTCAATTGATGCCTTACTTTGATAAGCCATTCTCCCCACAAAGGTAAAGGTGAAAACATATCTAATATAAAATCAACATTAACATCAATAACACGTTTACCTTAAACTTATTCGGGTCGGTGGAGAATGAATCCAAATGAAAAGAAATTTAAAAAAAAAAAAAAATTATGTAGAATTGGAATATCCCACAAAATGGCATTTTCCTAAAAAGTTAACTTGAAATGGAATAAGAAAAGCTTAGATATGTAGAATTGCAATATATATGGGTTAACTAACTTAATTAATGACTAAATAAAATAGTAATAATTATGAGAAATTTAAAGAACCACATTTAAATTTTGATTTGCAGATCAAGCAGGACAGTTCCAAAAGAATCATGCCTCCACATGATGAGTGGCAAGTGCTGGAGCTGCACATACGGCAATGAATTCTACAACTTGCACCATTGTGGTCATCAAGCTCTTAAGCCCATTAAATAGAATTGTTGAAGCTTTTATACGGTTGTGGGAAAGAGCCTGTAAAATGTACCCATCTTCGTATTTCATACATATTGTACACTAGCCATAGAGAAATCTAGAGTTTTGTACTATACCATGCGATAATCTAGCTCCACTTAATTAGGGGTGAAATGTTTTGATGTTTTCTTTGTCACAAATAAAGATAAATCGTGTTTTTTGTGTGTCCTATTGTCTTGGGTCTTTACATACCATGCCTTGTACCAATTGGAAATGAACAGAAGAGATTTATCACATTTCATCCTTTTCTTCTATTTGCTTAATTTGGAATAAGCATTTGCAGAATTTTACAGCCAACAACCAGAAAACATCATATGCTGTTTACTTTTGTCTCATTTATCATATATGTGGTTCATATCGCATGATGATACAATAAGCACTTACCGTATTTTTTTTCAATATTAAAGAAAGATATATATATATATATATATATGATTTGATATTGTGACAATCACGGTTTATAAGTAATAATATAAATCACGTGTTTGTTTGTCTCAGTAATGTATTTTTTTTCCTTTTTAAGACTTCGTATGATTATAGTCCCAAGTGTAACATCCCCGTCTCGAGCCGGTTCAATTAACATACATATGATAAAACAGAAAACAGCGGAAGACTTAACTTACGAAAGTATGAGCTAACTTTTTCTTTTTCTAACTTAATTCTTTCTCGGCGTAAACGAAAATCGGGCAGAGTTTCCTCTATAAATCGGACAACTGGGGATTTTCCAATCCCACTCAGAAGCATTTCCTGATAAACAGTTTATACAACATATCAATTCAGAAATACCAGATATCCAAATATAATCGAATACCCATACATGGGCGCATGCATAACATGGCTCCGTGCCACTAAATCTAACAGCATGCCATCACAACATAAACCTATCTGAATACTACATCATCATATAACGTTCCTGAATACTCAAATGTACATGCATCAAACTGACAGACATGTACAAAACATATACAGGCCATATACAAAATAAAGGATCAATATCATGATCCATCAAATGCGAAAATACTAAAATACATCAAACACTCCAAAAAGGTAGCAGCCTACAGCCACTCAAAATCCGGACTGTCAACTGCCTCAGCCACGTGTCGTGTCCCTGCCTAGTGAGGACTCACCGGAAATCTGGGCACCTGAAAATGTGTCCCCAAAGAGGGGTGAGATTACAAATCTCAATAAGCTCCAGGTTTATAGAGAATTCTCCATACCCCTGGCTCACTCCTGCATGAAAGTCAGATACAGAGTATACAAATACAACATATAACAGATATCATAACAGAACAGAGCATATATCCATATCATATCAGAGATGTGCGCCGTCATTCCCAAGGGAGGACCCCAAGCGGAAATCAACGCACGTGTTCCCGAGGAAGGACCCCAAAGCGGAACCAGACATATCAGAGGAGTACACCATCAGTCCCGAGGGAGGACCCCAAAGCGGACGTCCGGGTACTATACAATCAATGGCCAGAGATTGTTACAGAAATCAAATTACAGAAGTCATATCAGAGCAAAACATATCATGTTATCAAATAACTCTATATGAATGCATCTATACAAAGCATCTAAATCACAGTCATACAGTCCAACCATAGTTCACTAACCATGGTGGAGCACTCAAGCAGGAAAAGACTCCTTAAACATAGAGCTTACCTCTTGAAGCTTTACCAATACGCTTACTTGTGGAACAAGTTACTTTTATCGCTTCAAGAGATTTCCGATCCTTCTCAATCCCTAGGCACACCTAGAGAATAATTTACAATGCATCAATAAAATGATGCAATACCATAATTATTTCATAAGCATACATTTTATCGCTTATTTTCCTTTCTTTGCATTTTTGCCAATCCTATGCCAATACACAAGTCTAGACCTCTTTATAACCGTTGGTGTTCTTTAATTTAATCAACCATTCCCTTAGGAATTTTCCACATAAATCATGCTATTTTTCTTCAAAACTCATCATTTTCACTCATTTCCAACACACTATACCTTCACAATACATAATATAATTTTTTCCACAATAACTCCTACTCACTCCATGATGGCCGAAACCTAGGAGGAATATGCAATAGGACTTTTAAATTTTTATATCACATGTGGATGCTTACTCAACACTATAACTTCCTAAACAACAATAATCCATCATAAATTTCACATTCTAACATCAATTATTTCCCAACAAAATATGCTCATCAATTTCATAACTTAAATCATCAAAATAATATCATGGAAATAGAGGTTTCTTACCTCTAAACACTTGTACAAAACCTAGAGAGCAATCTCCAAGCCAAGCTCCATCCAAAAACTCACTTTTTCTCCTCCAATGAATAGTAACTCGAAAATGAGAGGAGGAATAACTCTTCACACACTCAACTATAGCTCAAATGGATAGGTGGAATGGATTCATTGAGTGGTTTCCAATCAATTTCATGTGGTGGGTCATTGGATTTGGTGGATGGATGATGAAGAAATCAAAGAAGGAAAATTTGAAACCCTAGCCCCTTCCCCTCCATGTGCAGCTCGGCCATGCAAGAGAGAGAAGAAGAAAATCTGAAATGAATAGTGTTTCATTTAAGTGACAAGGCTATATAGGCACATGTGGCCATTTTCATCGGATGTTTTTTTATCGCGTATTTTAACTTAAATTGACCCGGAACTAACTCAAAGCTACAAACATATTTTTATTTCCTAAAATCATTTACATTAATTTTTATTTCCTAAGGAACAATATTCATAATTCACAGTATGGTTTTTGCACCGTTTTTGACGAAATGCACTGTGCATCACTAATTGTACTTCCTTTACTTACGAAACTTAAAACTTATAAACTTATCATTTTCTTGGGCCTATATTGACTTGCTTGGCATATATTGGACTTTCTTATTCTTATTTCATCAATTATTTATTTCTGGACTCTACCGGTTGCTTAAACAGCAGTACAAAATACCCGGTAGAAACACTATTCACGAGATTTTCACGGAAAGTGCCAGACTATACAATTTTTGGTTCTGAACTCATATTTGTCATCAGAATTTTCAAATTATGTTCCTAAAATTATTTTGCTCATTTTAAGCTCTACCGGTTAATTCACAAAACTGTAAATTCTCCGGCAGAACGCACTGTTCATAACATAGTCATGATTACAGTCAAAATACTCGAAATCGCTCACCGAATCTAATTATGGCATTTAAATTCTTAAATTAAATCTCTAACTAAGATTTACCAGTTAGGGTCATTATACCAAGTCAATTCTTGAACAACCAAAAAGAATTTATGTATTGTTAGGATAATACACTAAACAATATATTTTATAACAAAGTATCATACATATCACGTATTATCTTTTAAAGAAAAAGTGTATGTCATTTTAAATAACACAAATTTAAATATTTTTAAGAAAGAGATGGACACAAAAAAATAAGACTTACATCTTTATTTTTATTTTTTCAATAAAACCCGCACCTTTTTATGTCTATCTTTCTCTTAAAAGAAAATAACCTAAGTTTGTGTACACTTTTCTAGGGATGTAAATAGGCTAGACTTGGCTTTAGATTAAATAGGCCAGGTCTATGTAAAAATAAAAAAAAAATTAGGTCTGGCATGACCTGTTAGCCTGTGTAGGCCTAAATTACAAATCTAGTCTAATTTATATTTAAAAAATAAAAATTTTGACCTGGGCCTGTTAGCCTTTTAAACTTATTAAACATTCCATAATTAAAAAAATAACTAGTGTTATTTTATCATTCAAAATTATTAAAATAATAAATTTATATATTTTATTTAAAAAAAATAATATGATACAGGTTGGCCTCTAAGCTTATAGGCTTGATATGTAAAAAAAAAAGTCTTTGGCTTGTTTTCTAAATAGATTTTTTTTTAAACCTAAACTTATTATATTTGATTATTTGTAATAAATTAAATCTAACCTAATATAAACAAAGTTATAGGCCCTTGTACTGACGTAACCCATTTACACCGCAACATTTTTCCATCTTTTAATTAGATGAATGTATTGCTCTCAACTTTATTGTTGTTCGGCTGAGAAAGGCATTGGACAAAGTGTATGTGTAAGGTGTACTTTTAGCTTACGCATATCAAACCAGCAAAAAGTAAAACAAACTAAACTGGAACAAGGCCAATCAGAGTTGTCACACCAATTACTCTCGGCCAATAACAAACTCATTAATTGTGTTTGAATTTAAGAGTCTCTTGTTGTTAGATTATTTACAAGTCTTACGAAAATGAACATGAGACTGTCCAAATTCTAGCCTAGGGCAAACATTTCCTCACCCTATTTTTTTTTTTTTCATACGAAAAACAAGTTAAATAATGGAATAGAATATATTAATTAAAAAAATACTAATTTATATAGCCACAAACTACTTTGGATTTATAATAAAACAAACAGTGACAGATTACCAAAAAAAAAACAGTGACATAATCATTTTATTGGAGTGTAAGTTCTATTTTTTATATTCGTATTCATCCTACCTATATCTAATATTTCTAATTGATTAATTATGTGACTTATTGGATAAAATTGAATCAACAACTAAGAATTAGTACGAAATTTCTTATTTTTACGCCGGTATAAATTGGTCATGTCCTAATTTATACATAGTAAATTCATAACACGTTAACCAAAAGGAAAAGAAATTTATTTAGAAATAAGTAAAATTCTATTAGCAAATTCAAATTCTATTAGCAAATTCAAATTCATAAATTCCTTTGCCAATATTATAATTTAATCTTAAAGATTGAAGGAGCGATCTAAAAATCGAATAGATAAGGTATATTGTATTAATTTTATATCTCATATATGATAAGTCTTTTTTATTATATTTATTTATTTTTATCTCTTTTTTATATATAAATTTAATTCTTTACTCAATTTTTTCTTATTTTTTATTTGTATTTATTTGACTGCGGATCCCAACTAATTTGAAACAATGATGACGTTTGATCTCGTAAATATAAAGATATATGTATTTACGTAAACAATTCAATATATGAATTACAAAAAGGTCAAAAAAAAAAATTAAAACCGAATGAGAAAGTTTCATTACTTGTATAGCTATATATTAGCTATTAAATTCTCAATGAAGTGTTATGAGAATGCAAATGACATGGTTGAACACCTAATTTTGTCCAAATTTTTTTAATAAAGAAGACAATTTTAAAATCAGGTAATAATTAAGATTAAAAAATAAAATAAAATTCACATAACACAAGCCCGTTTCTCTAAACTCAATCCATTTCATACTTAACCCTGCCTAAATTGTCTAACCCATAACCCAATGCACATATGTTGAAACACACTATGATCCATTTAATAGAAGCCATTTGCTCCCGTATTATCCAATGTGCACCCAAATTGGTTTGGGCTGGGCTGGGCCGGAAAATAGGTTATTGAATTTAATCCGTTTAAACCCGGCCTGATTTGGTTTGGATGTAAGTTAAGTAATAGTTTACATTTGATGACCTATGATGGAGACGAGGAAGGTTTTAATAGTAATAGTTTTTTTAAGTATGATTGGTTATATTTATAAAAATTTTGTTTACAAACTATACTATGTATGACCAGTTATATTTCAATCAAAAATGTATGACCGGTCGACGGATCCTTCCCCCATGGAGATATATGCATGAATAATTTGGCTGCGTTTGTTAATGTTTATTTTAAGAATAAAAATGTTTCTTAATTAAATTTTATAACAGAGTGTCTCAATACATTTTTCTTTTTAAATCTTTTTCTATTATGTTGAAAACAATAGTCAGCATTTTAGGACTTGACGGTGAAAAGAGTACTATCATATTGCCTTTTCTATGATTAAGTACATGTTTGTTTCGCCTTTTAGAAAAAATAACTTTTATCTGTACCTTATTTTAAAATTGCTTTTTACAAAAGTTAAAGCTATTTATACTTTTATAAGAATATTTAATTTTTTTTAAAAAAAATATTTGACTTTTGACTTGTGTTTATTTTAGAAGTTAAAACTTTTAGCTTCTAAAAAAAGTTAGTTTTTGATTTTTTTGTGACTTCTACTTTTTTTAAAAGTAGACATCCAAACGAACTTAAAATGATAAGTGCTTTTTTTCTTGAAAAAAAGAAGCTTTTGGAAGAAAAAAAAATCCATCCAAATGTACCCTAAAATATCATTATTACATTCTGAAGCCTTTGTGATAAAGTTTCTCTGCTAAAAAGTTTATTTTTCTTTGGTAATGATAAAGATATATTATTTTAATGATAACAATTTTATTTTTCTTTGGCAACTAATGTGTTGTACAAACAAATTGTGATTTTTTGGCATCAAACACAGTCGAGAATGCTTCATGACAGTGACTGGTGAGCTACAAATATGGTAATAATGTTGTAGTAAAATTGTTAGCTTATGTTATAGAGATAGGGATTTTTTTTTGAATCTTGTAGTAAAATTCAGGATATATTTGCTCTAATGCATCAACTCAGACAACTACTACTGCAATACCACATATATAATCCCAATGAAAGATTCCCATATACATTTTGTATGATTCAGTGTTTGAAAAGACAAAATGCCTAAGAAAATGTATACTCAATACTGCTTAATTTATATGGGCTAATTGCATACTTATTGAAAATTAATCTTAAATCTATGTTGGCATGTAATAAATTTCACAAAATTAGATACTTATGAGTAACTCCAGTGGTTGCAGTCTTGCAGATGAAGTAATACTTTAAAAAAAAATTAAATTTTAATTCTGATAATATTTTATATAAAAAAAATTCATTGAATTTTTTATGATACATATGTATCGAAGCAGTAATTGAAGGATATTGAAGTATTTCAAACTATCCATTTTCTTACAAATTAAGATGTTAGCAGCTCACACCTCACAAAAATAACTTAAATTTTTATCATTAATTATTATTTATTACATATACGATTTGACTAATGAACTACTCATTGAACCTGTGACTCCATGACCTAATCCCTTGGCTGCTTAATGGCTGATCTAAGTTTAGAAACCTAAATATGTAGCCAATTGTTATCAAAAAAAAAAAAAAAATATGTAGCCAATGATATGAAATGCCCTGTTCTATCTTGTTGAAAACTCCCAAAGACCTTATAGTTCAACAGAGTAATTGCTAGGGGAACTTTTTTTTTTATCAATATAACTCACCATTCAGAATTTCAAATTAACTTTATACATCAATAAACACCTTTGACTTTTTTACTCAGTACATTTCTTTTGCATATTTGGTATAAACTATCAAAGCATCACTAGGAATATAATACAAAAACCAAGGACTTATATTATACATCCATGAGCTTTCATTTCAATTCAACCCTTGGTTCTGATAATGGTAATGGAGCCTCTACCCTGGGTGTGAATCCTAGTAAGGGCTGTAACTGCTTTTCCTGTAATACCAAAACCTCTGGCTGAATTGCATGGATGAGTTATAGAGTCTCCCACAGGATGTGGAATTGGCTTTAATGGGCTCATCAACAGCTGGTGATTTATATCTTTAAGGGTTGTTACCCCTTCAACTCCTCCAGGCTTCACCAACTCAAAGGGATAAGCTATTTTCTTCCAATGACCCCCTTGATAACACCATATGAAAATGGGACAAAAGGGCACTTTGAGTGAGCCATTGCTTTGAAAACAAAATGAAGAAAGAAAGATAAAGAATAAAGAGGAAAGAGGCATGAAATGACTAAATCAAGTAAAAAGAATGTGATACTTGAAACTGAAGCATCATTTTCTTCTGACACTCTAGATGCACAGCTCCTATGAGAAGTATCATGTTTGACTGCAGCTGCATGTGTATTATTCTGTGATGATGATGGGTTCCTATTGCTGAATTTTGTATGATCTGTAAAGCAATAATCTGCAGTGTCAGTGATGGGTATGTTTCAATTACTACCACTTCTACCAAAATTAGTAACAAATTTGTAGGCTACAATTGAAACTTATAGGTAAGTCATTTATTGCAAATTATAGACTCTTTTTTTATGGCCACAGAATCTGCAGCCAAACAGTCTTGGGAAAAATGCAAAGGAATAGAAGAAGAAAAATTGGACTAGATTAATTACCATAAACATTTAACAATGAAGTTATTTCCCAAATCAAGCAAGACTGAAAATGATACCAGGGGCATACCATGAAGGATTTGGGTTGTTGTGGAAGCAAAAGTTGGAAATAGATCTTCCTTATCAACTTCTACCAAATATTGGCTTTTCTGTCATTAATTGAATATCTTATCAAGTTTCAAAGAAGTTGACAATAGAAAATTGGGAACAACAATTGAGCAAATGTAGAGAACATGAAACCATACATAGTTAACATTTTGATCTTGAGAGTAGGATGGTAAGTTGTTTTGATTGAACCAAATACCCCAGTCAGCAATAGCATCTTCAAGGTAACCAGTAGATGTATCAGATGAAAACCAGGACTCTGCTGAAGCAACAACATACAAGCATAATAAGCAAATTAAGATCATAAACAAGTAGAAATAATGGTGCCAGCTAGTAGCATTCTTTGGAAACAAGTGAAACTCAGAAAAGGAAATTGAAAATAAAAAGGTAACATTCTGAAAAGGATTAGCATATATATACCAAGAGTCAGATCTGAGTGAGTGACTCCAATGTCCAATTCCATGGAGGCAAGGCAGTGAGAACACAAACTATTTTTGGTGTTATGACTCAGATGTGAAGCTTTCTTTGTATGCAGGTTAGTAGAACATTCATACATGTGAACAAAAAGACTACTGTGTTTCACTTTTGAATTATTGTAATGGGCCCTTTTAAATTATGAAAATACCACCTACCTAACCTTACATTAGTCAATACAAATCAAAATAATGAATGGGCCACATTAATTTAAGCGTTGATTTTGCAATGTCGATACAAGTTGATAAAATATTTGGTCTGATTATATTGAGGAAGGTAATAAAGACAAGCTTTTTGGTCACAATCTCCGGATTATGCAGCTTTTTCTATGGTGGATGTTAGAACAAGGGCAACAATGAAACTTCTAGTGGGGAAAAAAGATGAAAAGGTAACTCGATCACAAGGCATCTTTGAGAACATGTTTCTTTAATTCTTTACATGTCTCCATGTTGACTACAGCAAATGGTTCTCTAACAAAAAACACGGTTCTTATTTTTGTCCTTTGCAAAAAAAATATCCATATTAATCTTTTTTTAGGGATTAAATTAGATTTTTATTGAATTTGTGAAGGATCACATTTTCAAAGAACTAGAATTGTAGAGAAATCAAAAATTGATTTTTTTGTAAGGGATGAAAGTGAGGATCGTGTTTTTTGTTAGGAACCCAGAAGTAGCTTTGCTCGAGAGATATGTGCGTTCTTTTTTTATTTTACTTTTTATCCTCTTTTAAAAATATTTTATAATAATTAAGAATGGAAGAGGTTATAATTACTATTTTTTTTTCTTACTACTTGTTACTACCAAATCTTAACCGTTGATTTCCGTCAATCTAACGGTTATAATTTACTAGAATTAATAATTAATTAATAAATGTGATCCAATAAATTATAACCGTTAGATTGACGGAAATCAACGGTTAAGATTTAGTAGTAACAAGTAGTAAGAAAAAAAGTAGTAACTATAACATTTCCCATTAAGAATTAGAGATGCTTTTTCCCAACTGGAAAGAAGCTAGGCCACACAGAACTTGATTACATAATGGTTGTACAAAGTTGAATTAACCATATTATTAAAGCTAGAAAATGTAAACAAAAGTGGACAATAGAAGGCTATTTCCAAAGGAGATTCAAAGCATCGCTATCTACTTTTCTAATTCGCTATATATCTTTTTTCTTTGGAATAGAAATTCAAAGCATGCGTGACTACCTTCTTTTCCTTATTCGTTACACTTCCTTTTCTTTAGTATAGTTTTCTTTTTATTCCTGTTCTTGTAAGACATGGAGGACAAGTGAAGCTACCGAATACTTTGGCTTTTGTAGCTTCTCATAACTCAGCCTTATTACTTTTTTTCTTGGCTTTATTTTTCTTAGATAATTTCAAAGTAGGTGGTTATATCACTAAGCACAATAGAAAGAGTGGTTGTTATATTGAGCTATCCAACATGTCTAACCTTCCACTCTCATTAGAGGACAAAGAACCTCTTCATACCTACATTGTTTCAGATCAGTGTGGGGCTCATAGGTCAAAATAATTTTGGCCTACTCTCTCTAAGCCACGAAATCCTTCCCACGCTATATATAACTCTCTCTTCCGTTGAGAGGCCATCTTTTTTACCATACTCTCTCTATTGTTGTCACTTTGCTAAACTACAACGTACAAACCCACACAGCCAAACCATGCCCTATACACGTTTGAAAGGGTTTATTAATCTCATGTTACATGAGAGTATTATCTCACGTGGGTGATACAAATATGTGAGGTCCATAATTTAAAAAAAAAAAAAAAATTGGCACAAAATTCTATGGATGTATAACATGAGATAGATATCTTATGTAATATGAGACTATCATTTCCCTTATTTGAAACCTCAAACGGTTGATCCTTCATTTTAGTTCTAGTTCATCATATTTGTGCCTCATTTTATAACTATTACATCCTTGGTGGAAAATAACCTATCCTCTTACACCTAACAAAGTTCAAAAGGGGATGTGAATTTTGGGTATTAACGGGCCGAGCTGAGCTTTGATCTTAAAAAGCTAAGACTGTGTTTAAATGTGTCAGCTTGACTAATCCCGATATCTGTTATAAATATAATTGTCGGCCTATGGCCTGCCTTATTTACCAAAAATAAAAGTATGGTTTAGCATGTTAGCTTGTTTAAAAAAAATATGACAACAAAAATTTATTCAAACAAAATATACAATCAACCGCACTAGTAATTTCATAAATATTCATAAATTCAATATATATCCAAACAGCATAATATAGAACAAAATCATTCAAAAAGTCTGTTAAACTAATAAAATGGGGTGAAATAAATTGATGAGAGAGAGGGTTATTACAAGAAGTATAAAAAATATAAAAGAAATATTTATATACTAGGCCAACCTGAGAAGCTCTAAGGTCGAGTTTCTGAATTAAAGCTTGAGACTTTTTTATTAAATGAGCTTTTATACAAGTCCAAGTCTGATTCCAACAACCAATTTTAGACATGTAAGCTCATGCCTTTACGAGCCGAGTCGTCCCTGGTTCGTTTAGCACCCCTAGATGTGATGTAGGGAAATGAAGAAGAAAAAAAGAAAGAGTAGATGAGGAAATAAATATCAATTCGAAACTTGAACTTAGTAGATACTGCATAAAGGAACCAAGAGATCTTCCATTTCTTATTTTCTTATCCTAGAAACTCAATTGGAAATTAATACAAACTCAGATGGTCCAACTCAACTACGTTAGAAGTGCAACACGAGTATTGTTGGGCCTATTTCTACTTCAATGTGCAAGGCCCATTAAGGGGTTTGAAAAAACCCTAAACCTTCTTCCTCCCTATATAAGCATTAGTTGTGGGCAGTGACGGAGCTATGTTGGTGCCAGCAGGTACCTTGGCACTGACTAATTTAACCACGTTTCAAGCATAAGTAAATAAACATAGAAATTCATGTTTCAATTTTTTTGAAAATTAGCCAGGTTTTAGACGTAGCTATATAACCCAATACTTTGATACTGGAAAAAGATTCCCTTCTCTACGTGATTTTTTTCCTCGTCTCTCTTTGTTTTATTTATAATTTGCATTAATAGGAAGTTATGGCTAACCCAATACTTCCATTCTAACTGTTACTCTTAAGAGTCTTAATACTTGATTTTTTACCAAAATATGGCAAAGGCAAACAAGTCAAACACTTTTCTATACATAAGGTACTTGAATAATATGCTATCGTCGAGGGGTAATTTTGACATATTTCCATTTATAAATCAGAATATAAATCGAAAAAAAATCACATAAAAGGTATTTGAACTTTACCTTAAAAAAAGTGCACGTAGTTTTAAATTAAGTTTTTACACATATCAAATAATGATTTGAGTATTTAACGGATGTTCGACTTGATAGAACATGCATAAATAAAAATTTATTTATAAAACTTACTCTTACTCATAATTACAGTTTTGATTTTCTGACTTTATTCGCTTTTTTTAATAAATTTGATTTTAGTTTATTTTGTTTCAACTACTGCAATATTATTTCCATGTTTAAACTAATATGATTAAGTTTTCATATTAATTTGATGTTAACGAGAGACTCGCTTTACCAATATGGCAATATTTTTCACGTGAAGTAAATTTTGATGATGTAGCAGTTTTTTTCATTAATTTTCTTCATGTAAAAATGACGTATTACCATGTCACATTAACACAAAAGGCTGCTAGTTAATGTCAATAATGAAACATAGCACCACTTGCCTTATTTCGAATATTCCAGCTTAACTATCTCTTATTTTTATAAAAGGAAATGGTAAAAGATTCAACTCCTTTAGGTAATACATCTTCGAAACAAAGTCCAATTCAAATATATATAATTTTTTTGAAAAAAGATGTGTCATTTTAAACGACACAAGTTGACAAACATTTCATAGACACAAAAGAGGTGAGACTTACTGGGAAAAAAAAGTGTAGGATTCACACTTTTTATATTTATAAAATGATGCAATTTATATCATTTAAAATGAGACTCTTTTTTCTTTTTCTTTTCTTGCTAAATAGAAGTCCTGTAATGTATTGAAGACATTCCAGAGAACAATTGAATGTATGAACTTTTTATAGGGACCAAAATAATAAAAGTCCAAGAATGACCAGTGAACCACAATGGCCCACTTTAAGCAGTTCCATGGGCTCTATATGATGGGCACCGAGGTTATGAGTTATGACTAATCACATTATTCAAGCCCACATCTGAATTGGCTTACATACAATACAAAATCATTATCATTTCGCTCATGTACTTTCATAACAAAAAGGTGAATATGTACACTATGTCTTTAATCATGATCTTGGTAGTTAAAATTTTGATTTAAATTTGTGTTTTTATGATTTTATGATTTTTTTAATGAAAATGATTTTATCAAAATTTCAAATGTTTTTATGATTTTTTATATTTTTTTTTACGTTAAGATTTTACATTTTATGATTTTTTATCCTCCTTTCAATTTTAAGTAAAATCCTAATTTTAACTACCATTATTATGATAGTATTATAATTCAGAGCAGTGATGGAAATGCCGATGAAAGATGGGAATGGTTGTTGGAGTTAATTTTAAACATAAGTGTGAAAATTTTTATTTCTCTAGTTCCACGTTATGAAATGAAATGTTTATATCTTGAAAGGGAAATTACTTGATGAATGCAATGGGTCACCTTATCGAAGAAGAAAATGATGTTTGAATATCTTATAAAAATGGTAAATAATGAAATTAAATTAAAAGGTTTTCCCTATAAGCTCGGTCATATGAACATCCTATAAGTCTATAAATTTTTAATGAACACGTCCTACTCAATCAATAGTTATATCTGAATTAAAATAAAAAGTTTGATCCTTCAAGTTAGACTGTCAAATTAATATCTTATCATTTCACATCACTATTTGTTAAGGTTTTTTTTCATTTGTGAACTTCTTATCTCTTCATATATTATTTCTCTCGTTGAAAACATAACGAGTTCCCAATCCCAACTTTTTTGCCACCAACCAACTAACCCATGCCAATGGCCAATGGCCAATGAGTGACCAAGACCCCTGCTAATTCCCCTTCGTGATGGGTATAGGAATAATC